CTCTCTTTATACACATATATATATATATACACATCTTTATCTATCTTTCTCTATCTTCCTGTCCTTTTTCTACGAGAGCACTCAGGTGAAACATATATGTACACCCGTCTGCCCGCAGCCCAAGTGATTTAATTAAAGAGACGAGCTTAGCCTCTTACTCGTTGTAAATATAGTGACAGAGCGAGAGAGAGAGAGAGAGAGAAGGAATGTGTGTGTGCGTGCCTGTTTAGAGAGAGAGAGAGAGAGAGAGAGAGAGAGAGAGAGAGAGAGAAAGAGAGGTGATGGAATTTGCTACAGGAAAGTATTATACACACCGTGAAGATGGTGGTATGTGGTATCCTACTCGCGTGGGAATAGTCCCGTGAAGAGAGAAACCAAAAGGATCTCCTGTATAGTCGAGGAACAATGCCTGCCGTCGTCTTCTTTGTGTCTCGATTTCTTTTTTTTTTTTTTGTTTTGTTTTGTTTTTCATTTTTTTTCCTTTTATTTTTTTTTTTTTCTGTGGTACATTTTATCTGTTTTTTTTTTTTTTTCCTTTTTTTTATCCCCTCCGTCACTATTTCTGTCTCTCTCTTTCTGTCTCTTTCTCTCTCTCTCTCTCTCTCTCTCTCTCTTTCTCTCTCTGTCTCTCTCTTGTGTTTGCTTTTCGTCGTGGGTGACATGTCAAATGAATAGAGCGAAGACACACATAAATACATCTATACACACACACACACACACACACACACACACACACACACACATATATATATATGTATAGGTATATGTATGTGTGTATGTATGTATAAATAAATAAGTATGTATATATATATACATATACATACATACATACATACATACATACATACATACATACATACATACATACATACATACTTTTATATATATATGTATGTATGTAATATGGAATATACATATGGGTGGTCCTCGGGAATCTTCCTCATGTGACGTCGAGAGTTCGGTGAGCGTTCACTGCCATGACCTTGAATGTTGAAAGCGCTTACCTCGGCTGATACTCGGATGAGTTGGCCGGAAGTGAATTCCTTAGAGCCAGTCGGCATTCGTCGGTTAAACTACAAACTCCTCTTGTAACTTCTTATATTCGTTAGATAGAAAGAGAGAGAGAGAGAGAGAGAGAGTGAGAGAAAGACAGAGACGCTCCTTCGAAGATGTTTAAAATAATCCGAGTATTTCTAATACTTCATTCTTTTTTTTATTTATCTTCTTTTCTTTTTTCTTCTTCTTTTTTTTCTTTTTCTTTTTTCTTTTCACTCGTGTAGCGTTTCCATGTATACGATCGTTTGAAAATTACACTGTATATTATATACGCGTATTCGATTGATTATTTTTTCTTTTTTTTTTTTTTATCTAATTCTTTTTTTATATACTAAATTATATATATATATATATATATATATATATACGATTATATATTATTATATCTATATATTATATAAATGTAATAGGTATAATAAATTGATTTGAAATTTCTATAAATTGTTTTACCTTTTATCGATATAAAATTGTCTAACTTTTAAGGATAAAAAAGAAAAAAAGAAAAAAAGAAAAGAAAAAAGAAAATTTCTCAGATAAAAATAAATATCTGTTTTTAATTTATAAAAAAAAAAAAAAAAAAAAAAAAATCAGATAAAAATCGTATTATAATTTGTTCAACGAACAAAAGATTAGCTGTGATTTTATCAAAACGAGATTTTTATTAAGATAATTTTCCATAGTATATTTCTAATTTTAATTTACGTGTACTTAAATTATATGATCATTGTATCGAACGTTATATAAAAATATTATAAATAGATTGATATTAGAAAGCAAAGGATATATGTATACATATATTCTCGAAATTTGTATCGTAATATACAACGTAACGCAAGTAGTATTGTTTATCGGTGATATTTGGTATGTGTTTATCTATGAAGTCATTGAAAGGGCGTGGTCCGTCGTTGATAAGTGGGGATCAGTCGTCTTTAACTTTTCGTTCGAGTAACAATAATACTCATTGATATTATGATCGAACGATCGTTAAGATCGCTACGTTAGTAGTAGCCAATCAACCTTTGGAAATATCTTAATAAATAAAACGAAAGATTAATTGTATTTAACGGGACGTAATATTGCTGCAAGATTTCTTAAATGATTTATATATAATATAACATCATATCTATATATATATATATATAAGTAAAAAATATCGTATATTGGATATAATAAAAAGTAAATGTGAGAAAAACGTCGTTCGTAATAGGTTAGAAAGATATAAATATATATATATATATATGTATCTAATAATAAGCGATAATATTAAATGGATAAATATTAATATGAAATTGTTTGGAAAAATAAATGAAATAATATGGAATTAAATTATTTGTTACAGGGATGCCGGTTGATTGAAGATGGCCTCGCCGACACCCTCGCTGGAATCGCGCGCGAATTCCCTCGGGTCCCTGGCCTCGCTGTCTCCGTTAACGGTGAGCGGCAGTTCCCCACCTGCTAGCGACTCGGCAATCTGCGACGTCGACAGTTGCGACCTCTGCCTGGACGCACCTAAAGCAGGGGAGGCCTGTCCCCGTTGCCGTCTTGGTGGTGCCGCCGGCGTACGTTGTACCGGGTGCAAGTCAACAGAATCAGACGCGGTAGCCCGTTGCTTCGATTGCGCCAATTTCCTTTGTCCAAATTGCGTTATGGCCCATCAGTTTATGCATTGTTTCGAAGGTCACCGAGTATTAAATCTCGGGGATTCGAAATTGGAGACTGTAAACAACGGAGGCAATTCAACAACGGAATTGCCTAAGAACAATCTCGTTATCAACGGTGGTAATAGTAATGAGGAAAAAACATTGTTCTGTCCGCGTCATAAGCAAGAACTATTGAAATATTTTTGCCGCGCGTGTACTGTATTGGTATGTAAGGAATGTACTATAACCGATCATCCTGGTCCATTGCATGATTGCGCCCACGTATCAGAAGTTGGACCTCAACAAATGGAGGCAGTGGCTAGGGCGGTACAAGAGTGCCGGGCCAAAGCTGCTGACGTTAGGGCCGCTGTTAAAGCGGCCGATCATGGGGCCGCAAGATTACAAGTACAATACCACAAGGCACAGAACGAGATTAACGATACCTTCCAGTTTTACAGATCAATGTTGGAGGAACGTAAACAGGAACTATTGAAGGAATTAGAATCCGTATTCTCGACAAAACAGATATCCCTCGGTGTATTAACGCAAAAGGCCAACGAAATGGCCGATAAAATACAACAGACCTGCGAGTTCGTCGAACGTTTAATCAAATATACGACGGTCACGGACGTACTTATGGTTAAAAAGTTGTTGGACTCTAAGCTACAAGTATTGCTGAGTTATACGCCTGATATATCGAATCAAAGCGCCGATTTAGAATTTGTCAGTAATTATCAGGCTATACAGGTTGGCGTTAGAAATACGTTCGGTTATGTACGTAGTAATAGCGAGACCGGTAACGCTGGACCGATTGGAAAGCAACCACCGATAGCACGTCCAACTGCATTGTCCAGTAACGGTAGTAACGGGAGTAACAACAGTAATGGGCCTGGTAGCGCTGGAACATTGGGAGGTTTGCTTTTAGATCGACCTTACAGCAATGGATTGATATCATCGAGTTCTAATTGCGCATCGTCGACCTCGCCGTCACCTTTCGACACCACCAGCAACAACGGAGCCGCAGGGGGCGGAGGTGGTGGCGGCGGTGGTGGAGGTGGCGGAGGCGGAGGCGGAGGTGGTGGCGGCAGCAACAGCGTCATTACGAAACGTTTCAGTTCGGCCAATAGCCTCGGACCTTTTTCGACAACGATAAGCGAGCTCAATTTAAATGGCATGAATGCCAATCCTTACGAGAAATGGAGCAACGGCGGTAGCGACGCCTATCCCGTGGTAACGAGCAACGATCATTTCCCAATGCCAACTGCGGTATCCGTGACGCCTAACGCCGCACCTGGCGAGTCCGTTCTCGACCTTACCTCGAAACTTATGTCGGCCGCTGCGATATTCCCTTTGAAGTCTCAAATAAAACGACAAAAAATGATCTATCACTGCAAGTTCGGTGAATTTGGTGTTATGGAGGGACAATTCACCGAGCCATCCGGTGTAGCCGTTAACGCACAAAACGACATTATAGTTGCCGACACGAACAATCATCGTATACAGATATTCGACAAGGAGGGTAGATTCAAATTTCAATTCGGTGAGTGCGGCAAACGGGATGGACAATTGTTGTATCCTAATAGGGTCGCTGTCGTACGTACATCCGGTGACATTATTGTTACCGAAAGATCACCGACCCATCAGATACAGATCTACAATCAGTATGGACAATTCGTAAGAAAATTTGGTGCTAATATATTGCAACATCCACGTGGCGTTACCGTTGACTCGAAGGGACGCATTGTCGTTGTCGAATGTAAAGTAATGCGCGTTATAATATTCGATCAGGCGGGCAACGTACTACAAAAGTTTGGCTGTTCGAAGCATCTTGAATTTCCAAATGGCGTTGTCGTTAATGACAAACAAGAGATCTTCATTAGCGACAATCGGGCCCATTGTGTCAAGGTATTCAATTACGAGGGCGCATATCTACGTCAGATCGGCGGCGAGGGTATTACGAATTACCCAATTGGGGTTGGAATAAATGCGGCCGGTGAAATATTGATTGCCGACAATCACAACAATTTCAACCTGACAATATTCACGCAGGACGGTCAACTTGTATCGGCATTGGAGAGCAAGGTCAAGCATGCTCAATGCTTCGACGTGGCACTTATGGACGACGGTTCGGTTGTATTGGCTAGCAAGGACTATCGTCTGTACATTTATCGCTATGTTCAAGTGCCGCCTATCGTTATGTAGACCAGCGAGCCGTCACGACGACGACGATGATCATCGTCGTCTCGGGACATCATTTTTTTTCTTATTCCATTAATTATTAATATTATTACTATTATTACGATT